GTTTTTTAACCGTAACTTCAGATTTTCGAACATAAACCACTCTGGAGATTTTCTTGACGATGCGTTAATGTCTCCTCTACAACACCTATATAGTCGTTGCCCGTCACAATCTCTTTAAAATGGTCAAAATTTTTCTCTTAGTGCCCTACCTCCCTAATCTCATTTTGTAAATTTCACAATAAAATTTTCAGTTTTTTAACCGTAACTTCATATTTTCGAACATAAACCACTCTGAGTATTTTCTTAAACGATGCGCCATTGTCTGCTCTACAACACCTATATAGTTGTTGCCCGTCACAATATCTTGAAATGGGTCCAAAATTAACTTAAATTGCCCTACCCCCTAATCTCATTTTGTCAATTTTACAATTAAAGTTTCAGTTTTTTAACCGTAACTTCAGATTTTCGAACATAAACCACTCTGGAGATTTTCCTAAACGATGCGCCAATGTCTCTTCTACAACACCAATATAGTTGTTGCCCGTCACAATCTCTTGAAATTGGTCCAAAATTAACTTAAATTGGCCTAACCCCAAATCTCATTTTGTCAATTTTACAATTTCAGTTTTTTAACCGTAACTTCAAATTTTCGAACATAAACTACTCTGGTGATTTTTTTAAACGATGCGGCATTGTCTTTTCTACAACACCTATATAGTCGTTGCCCATCACAATCTCATGAAATCGGTCTAAAATTAACTTAAATTGGCCTACCCCCTAATCTCATTTTGTCAATTTCACAATAAAAGTTTTTTAACCGTAACTTCAGATTTTCGAACATAAACCACTCTATTGATTTTCTTAAACGATGCGCCAATGTCTCCTCTACAACACCTGTATAGTCGGTGCCCGTCACAATCTCTTTAAAATGGTCCAAATTTTTCTCTTAGTGCCCTACCCCCCTAATCTCATTTTGTCAATTTCACAATAAAATTTTCAGTTTTTTAACCGTAACTTCAGATTTTCGAACATAAACCACTCTGGAGATTTTCTTAAACGATGCGCCAATGTCTTTTCTACAACACCTATATAGTCGTTGCCCGTCGCAATCTCTTTAAAATGGTCCAATTTTTTCTTTTAGTGCCCTACCCCCCTAATCTCAATTTGTCAATTTCACAATAAAATTTTCAGTTTTTTAACCGTAGCTTCATATTTTCGAACATAAACCACTCTGGAGATTTTCTTAAACGATGCGCCATTGTCTGTACTACAACACCTATAAAGTCGTTGACCGTCACAATCTCTTGAAATTGGTCCAAAATTAACTTAAATTGCCCAACCCCCTAATCTCATTTTGTCAATTTCACAATTTCAGTTTTTTAACCGTAACTTCAGATTTTCGAACATAAACCACTCTGGAGATTTTCTTAAACGATGCGCCATTGTCTCCTCTACAATACCTATATAGTCGTTGCCCGTCACAATATCTTAAAATTGGTCCAAAATTAACTTTAATTGCCCTACCCCCTAATCTCATTTTGTCAATTTTACAATTAAAGTTTCAGTTTTTTAACCGTAACTTCAGATTTTCTAACATAAACTACTCTGGAGATTTTCCTAAACGATGCGCCAATGTCTCTTCTACAACACCTATATAGTCGTTGCCCGTCACAATCTCTTGAAATTGGTCCAAAATTTACTTAAATTGGCCTAACCCCAAATCTCATTTTGTCAATTTTACAATTTCAGTTTTTTAACCGTAACTTCATATTTTCGAACATAAACCACTCTGGAGATTTTCTGAAACGATGCGCCATTGGCTCCTCTACAACACCTTTATAGTCGTTGCCCGTCACAATCTCTTAAAATTGGTCCAAAATTAACTTAAATTGGCCTACCCCCTAATCTCATTTTGTCAATTTCACAATTTTAAGTTTTTTAACCGTAACTTCAGATTTTCGAACATAAACCACTCTGGAGATTTTTCTAAACGATGCGCCAATGTCTCCTCTACAACACCTATATAGTCGTTGCCCGTCACAATCTCTTGAAATTGGTCCAAAATTAACTTAAATTGGCCTATCGCCCTAATCTCATTTTGTCAATTTCACAATTTCAGTTTTTTAACCGTAACTTCAGATTTTCGAACATAAACCACTCTGGAGGTTTTCTTAAACGATTCGCCAATGTCTCCTCTACAACACCTATATAGTCGTTGCCCGTCAAATCTCTTTAAAATGGTCCAAATTTTTCTTTTAGTGCCCTATCCCCGTAATCTCATTTTGTCAATTTCACAATAAAATTTTCATTTTTTTAACCGTAACTTCAGATTTTCGAACATAAACCACTCTGGAGATTTTCTGAAACGATGCGACATTGTCTCTTCTACAACACCTATATAGTCGTTTCCCGTCACAATCTCTATAAATTGGGCCAAAATTAACTTTGAGTGCCCAACCCCCAAATTTCATTTTGTAAATTTCAGTTTTTTAACCCTAACTTCAGATTTTCGAACATAAAGTGATCTAGATTTTTTTTTTTACACGATGCGCCAATGTCTCTTCTCCAACAACTATATAGTCGTTGCCCGTCACAATCTCTATAAATTGGTTCAACATTAACTTTTAGTGCCCTACCCCCTAATCTCATTTTGTCAATTTCAGTTTTTTTACCGTAACTTCAGATTTTCGAACATAAACATCGCTGGAGATTTTCCTAAACGATGCGGTAATGTCTCCTCTAAAACACCTATATAGTCGTTGCCTGTAACAATCTATTCAAATTGGTCAAAAAATAACTTAAAATGTCCTATACCCTAATTTCATTTTGTTGATTTCATTTTTTTTCTACCACAATTTAAGATTTTCGAACATAAACCACTCTGGATATTTTCCTAAACGATGCGGCACTATCTCCTCTTAAACACCTATATAGTCGTAACCTGTCACAATCTCTATTAATCGGACCAAACAACGTAAAGTGCACCCCCATTCCCTAAAAATGCATTGTGTCAATGTGTTAACTTACGATCTTTGTAATCCAGCTATCTATTGAATGCCTTATGTGGATTTATTTAGTTAGGAAAGAAAAGCTTTGTATTCTTTATATATGAAGTATGGTTTCCCTTTTGTTTTAAGTTAGTTTTTTCGTTTTTGTTTAAGATTGTATGTATTCTCATAATTGTTCGCTAGCTCGAAAAAACGTGATAATCTTATGTGATATTGTGGTTTTTAGTTATACCTCCTAATTGTTCGCTAGCTAATTGTTCGCTACAATTGTTCGCTAGCTTGAGTCAGGTATAATATTCAAAGGTTTTAATACAAGTTGAAATATAAATCATTGTAAAAAGGAGAAACAGAACCCTCCAAAAGGATTGTTTTTTTGGTATATGTGCAATTGCATGAGTGAAAACATCTAGTAACTACATTGTCATCACGTAGTCCTGTAGCAACAATCCATGAGGTGTCCGTAGTTTGTTTAATGTATGGCATTTTGAATTATTTATAGGCTCTCAATATTTAGCCAATGATTACTAAATAATGATGATTACTTGGTAGATTTAATTGCTTTTGTAATATATGTTTACGTGTATTCTACAGAAAATTGCAACTATCCCCCAAAAAATACTATCTTGCAAAAAGTCTACGATATTGAATATCTAATGTAAGCATATCTAACCTTTCAGCTGAGTCAATTTCAAATTTACTTTATATTTGTTATTTACCTGCCAATTATTTTTTAAAACTACATTTGCGAAATTAAAATTCGAACAAGTTTATCATCCGACTCTCTTGAAACTTGTATGCCTATCGATTGTTTTAATCTTTTGTATCTCGATCTAGTTCACAAATAAAATATGAGGGGCCTGATGGGTTATTTTCGTTCCTCGTGATCGGCGCATTTTCGCTATCGTGATCCGTTTTTCTACAGATTTTTTTTTTTTTATATTTTCGTGATCCGTGATCATGGAAATCTATTTTCTGTAAATCGTGATTGACAAAAAAATCAACTCGTGAATCGTAATGAGACCCCCCCCCCCCCCAATCAGGCCCCTCAAATATGCGTCTAAAACGTGTACCAATATAACCAACAAAACAAAATGATGAATAATCAATAGTATAATTTTAAAATAAAGATTACAAAAAATAGAGGATAATATCCTTCTTCAACATCAGTACTCTGTTGCCATATGATGTGAAACTGATACTGGAGAAGGATATTTGTTATCTAAAATATTAATGGATTATTGTATGATACATTAAACGGGAACTGACACTGGGATCTGATGTTTAAATCGACAAAATGTATATATTCATATTAAATACAAATATTTAATGCATGTTTATATATATTTATATGCTGTCAGTCGCGCTAATGAAATGATAAACACACACATATATATCTACTTCGTCTCAAGATCAGCCGAACAATTTCGGATCCTCAAACTAGCGTTTTTTTTTTCTTTCCCTCGGCGGGATTTGAGACCAAGCTTATGTGACATCGTGGTTACCCCGTTCTGCACTGTGCTCAACCATCTAGATCATTCACCCAACTAAACTTAAGGATCCAAAATTGTTGGGCTAAACTTGAGACGAAGTATATGTATATATATTTGTGTGTGTGTGTGTGTATTATTTCATTTGTATGACTGACAGACAAGGAGACAAGACATATTGTCATCCGTTATGATATATTTAAAAAAAAAATGAATTGCCCAGATATACATGTACCATGTCCAAGTCACTTAAAACCATGTACTTAGTAACAACTTCAGATAGATGAATCACACGAGGAAAGGAATCCGACTTTACAAAAGCTATATCTGTATATAACCAAGCTGGCTACATGATATAAATTTGCAAGTGATTGCACTTCTAGCATTGTAAAGATGAATTCAATACGACATGTTTGAGAGTGTTTGGGTGTGTGTGTGTGTGTTTGTGTGAAATGAAGAAACATGTTTCATACTGAGTGTTTAGCAGTATCTTATATTTGCATATAAAAATGTGTTTTTGTATATTCAATCTAGACTTCAAATATGTTAACTATTATTAATTAAGGTAAAGATGGACAAAAACAAACAGTTCAAGGCCAACCAGATCAATTTAACCAATCTGATCAGAAGAATGTGCAACACGCTTTATATGGACATGTGGATCAATCAAATCATACCGGACAACCAATGACTAATCAATTTGGACAACCAACGATCAACCAATTCGGACAAACAATTGTTTCTCAAGCTGGACAACCAATGGTAAATCAAGTTGGTCAACCAATGGCGAATCAAGCTGGGCAGCCTGCTTTTTATCAGCCCGTACAACCAATCATGACTCAACCTGGTATTGTACCATTCGGCCAACAGATGGTTGTTCAGAATCAATACGGACAGCCAGTTATTGTTCAAGGTGGTGTACCAATGGCTATGCCTATTCCTATAGATCCTAACAATCCAGCACAAAACGAACACCCCGTCAGTACTAAATGTCCTCACTGTCAGATAGATATTACTACAGAAAGAGAATATGTTGTAGGCTCATGCACGTGGTTATGGTGTATATTGCTTGGTACTATGGGGTAAGATTTTATGCATCAAATATCCATTAAAAGAATTCGTTTTTATAATCTATTTGATGTACAATAAATATTTAAGTATTGTCCAAACAAAGTAAGATTTGAAGAGATAAAACCTATATCGGATTTTAGTTACTATACTATATATTTTGTTAAAAAATATTTATAATTTACCTGGCAATATGTTTTGAGCATTCACAGATAACGTTTCCGTTTTTCTAACAAGATTTTGTGAGGTAGACGAAATTGACCTTAAAACGATCGAATTGAATTTTGATGTACAAAAATAGGCAGATCGGACATATTTTGACTTTATTTACTGACTTCTTTTGTTTAGGATTAATTGTAATTATAACATTATAACGAGACTGAAATATGTTTTTTTTTGTTAAGATAAACAACGATTTTACCTGGCTTAGCCGTGCGTAAATTGTATTTCGGCACTTCTCTTCGAAAAATGACTTGTTTAATGGAATAAAACGTATGGTTTGTAAACTTTTTCTTTTTTCTCCGGAATAGGCTATTAAAAACTAGTTTATGTACTGGAAAATTTTGTGAAAATATAAGAAGTGGCAATTCTCACCTTTCATACCTTTAGTTGCATTGATAAAAAATAATATGGACTCGTCTAGTGTCCAGTTTGAAGGTCATTTAAGTTACTGTACACATTCATGCATGCTAAAAAATCTCTGGACAGTTATTTGAATAAAATTAGGAATATTGTTGATATTCGTATATCTCATTTTGAAAACAATTCTGAAATTAATAATAGGGTTCATGATATACCCATTTCTAGAATAAAAAATAAACTCCAAGTACTCGCAAAGCGGTTTGTGTTCGTAACGGCAGACAAAGCAGCCAATAATGCAGTGGTTGTGTGACGCATATACTACACGGAAGTTCTCCAAAACGAAATAATCAATTCTTCTACATTCAGGTCCGTACGCTCCACAGAGAGTAAAATTGTAAACAAGCATATCACTGCCACTACCCAGCTTAAAGCATCTTCCGAACATTTGAAAGTCCAGAATATGTACTGATTATCTAGATTACACAAACAACCATTTAAATATCGTTTCATCTCCGCATCTAGTAAGTGTTCTACTATTAATCTGTCAGTGCTTCTAACTACCTCCCTTACTACTATCAAAGAACTTGTTATTAACTTTTGTAATAAAATTTATGAAAATAATGGTATTAATTATTTTTGGAGTGTTAGAAATTCTTTAGAGGTTTTAGATAAAATACGTGCTTTTGATGGTCCTTTTAATTCTGTTGACAGTTATGATTTTTCTACTCTCTACACTACACTTCCATACAATCTTATCAAGAAAAAGTTTTCATATTTAATTAAATGGTATTTTGAAAAATCTCATTCCAAATTCATTTGCTGTAACTCGTGTAAAGCCTTTTTCTGTAACGAAAAGGAAAGTATGCTATATTCACTTACTGGAAATGTGAAGATACGATTGAAGCCTTAAATTTTCTCCTGGACAACATATATGAACGTTTCGGCGATAAAGTGTATCGACAGGTAGTAGGTATTCCTATGGGCACTAATTGTGCACCTTTAATAGCAGATTTTTTCCTGTATTGCTATGAATCACAGTTTATGGCCAAACTCAGTAAAGACACGTCATTGTTACATTTGGTTGACACATTCAACAATACCTACCGTTATCTTGATGAAATGTTTTCGTTGAATAACCCAGAGTTCTCTAAATATACTACCGAAATTTACCCAAAAGGAACTTACTTTAAATAAATCTAACATAAACCGCAGTAGTTGTCCTTTTCTAGATTTAGACATTTCAATTTCTAAAGGGAGACTCCATACTAAAAATTACGACAAAAGAGACGATTTTTCATTCCCTATTGTTAATTTTCCTTTTTTAGATGGCGATGTTCCTTTGGCTCCATCATACGGTGTTTATATATCCCAATCGTTCGTTATGCCCGTGTTAATCAATGCATCACTGGTAAATTATTAAGTCAGGGATTTCGTTACCATAAATTACTTAAAACATTTACTAAATCCTTTCATATATACAAAGATTTGATTAGTAAATTTGGCTGTACCTGAAGAAAACTTATTAAAAACGGTATTTCACATCCTCAATTTTAAGGTAATACTATGTGATCCGTGTAAATTCGTCGAACCTTTAAACAAACTTATTAGTAAAGGTTATCTTATTAATGTTTTAATAAGATCTTTGAATATTGTTTACATTGGCACTAACATCGATTTTGTCATCAACAAACTAAAACATAACTAAATTTGTACTCTTTTCGAATGTTTTTTTTGGGATGTTTAAATACACATCCACGTTTATTTTCTATTTAGAGATTGCTTTATTCATATATAACATGATACATATTAATTATAAGGTTAAATCCTAACTGTCCTACTGCCTGTCGATACTTTTATTTTGGCATTGCACAAGTCATGTCTTCTTTGACTGTCCATGACGTTAAAACACTAAATCCCTGGGATGTGTTTTAATAGATTTTAGTCTCTGATGCATGATTTTTTATTATTAATTGTTTTTGGCTTTTAACTAGCGTTCAGTAACTGCGAGTTCTCTCAAATCGTACTGTCGTGTTAATTTGACCTGTTGAAACAATTTGTAATGCATTTTTGTTATTCAATGTTTACTTATTTTATGTTATATCTCTTCTCACTATTTTTAATATGTACCACCTTTGATAAGTATTTAGGATGACGATAAATTTTCACTTCTGTACTCGTACTGTGAACTACAAATTTATTTATTTAAAAAAAAGATTAGTCCGTACTCCTAACAACAAAATTATTATATTTACCTGTTTACGTTATTTTATTTAACGCTATTTTGTCCTAGGTTTGAGTTGTCTCTTTGAAATTGTTTTACATCTTTTTTATTTATATTGTATTTATATTGTGTCATAGATCAAATTTATTTGTTCAGTGTATGTTTACTTTTTTTTTTTTTATATGTCTTTTGATCGAGTTAAGCCATTTCAATTGATATTTCATTGTGTGTCTTTTTATGTTGTAATGTTACACTACTGTTTCAGGTTAGGGTGAAGTTTGGCGACTGTTAAAACGTTTAAACCCGCTGCATTTGTATGCACCTGTCCTAAGTCAGGAACCTGTTGTTCAGTGGTTGTCGTTTGTTGATGTGGTTCATAAGTGTTTCTCGTTTCTCGTTTTTTATATAGATTAGGCATTTGGTTTTCCTGTTTGAATTGTTTCAAACTAGTCATTTTGGGGCCCTTTATAGCTTGCTGTTCGTTGTGAACCAAGGCTCCTTGTTGAAGGCCGTACCTTAACCTATAATTGTTTACTTTTTACACATTGTTACTTGGATGGAGAGTTGTTTCATTGGCACTCATACCACATCTTCTTATTTATATGTTCTGATTTAATCAATATACGTGTATGAACAAAATAAACAGTTTGAAGGTAAACTAATAATAACTTAATCCAATCAAATTGCGTAAGATTCAATAACAATGACCGGTCCACATCATAATAAGTAATCGGGGTAAACTGTGTAGGGAGAAAATGACAGATATTTTAAGTTCATTTTTTGCAATAACGAATTAAGATTTGTCAACCAAAAGTTTTGCTATAACTTCAAAAACATGTCGTTCTGTATTGGTATAGTTTTCGGATCTTTCATTTGCGTATTTAAGGCAATAGAAAGTTTGGACTTCAGAAGTCTACATAATTATTTTATACAGACAATTCGCCCTTTTAAAACATTTAATGTTTCACAAATAATTCATGGATACAAAGTAAAATCATTTCTTAAAACACTGCAAAAAAAATCATTTTGATTGGTATAGTGGTATTGTCATAAGTTGCGTTGAAATGAACCGTGGTAAAGAAAACATCGAATTCTCTCACAAAATTACGGAAGCCGATAAGGGCCATTCAAAAAAAAAATTTTATGTCGTAATTACGACATAACATGTCGTAATAACGACATCACTATGTCGTAATTTCGACATAACATGTCGTTTAAACGACATCGCTATGTCGTAATTTCGACATAACATGTCGTTATAACGACATCGCTATGTGGTAATTTCGACATAACATGTCGTTATAACGACATCGATATGTCGTAATTTCGACATAACAAGTCGTAATTACGACATCACTATAGCTATGTCGTAATTTCGACATAGCATGTCGTTATAACGACATCGCTATGTCGTAATTTCGACATAACATGTCGTTATAACGACATCGCTATGTCGTAATTTCGACATAACAAGTCGTAATTACGACATGACTATAGCTATGTCGTAATTACGACATAGCTATGTCGTAAAAACGACATCGCTATATATATAAAAGAATATGTATTATGATTGCCAAGAGACTAAATGACACAGAAATAAGCAACTATAGGTCATCATAATGCCCTCAATAATGAGAAAAGCCCCCGCATAGTCAGCTATGAAAGAGGGACGAAAGATACCAGAGGGAGAGTCCCCGAAATGACAGCTGTTTAACAATTTTATTCAAACGAGTGAAAATAACGGTTTTAATAATGTACAAACAAAGACCGAAACACGAATATGTAACACAGCAACAAATGACAACCACTGAATTACAGACTCCTGACCGCTATCTGATAATAACGACAACCTTATAGTTTAACTTTTCACTTTTTGAAGCGATAGGAATTTCAAAATGGTCGCCAGTAAAGGCAAAGTTTGTATCGTAAACAAATTCATCTTTTTTTTTTTAGAATATTGAACACTTTATGCAATCAAGCTTAATTAAAGTTATTCACTAGCACCTCAGACTTGCACATACTAGAACTTTATTTATAATCAAGTCAAATGAGACCCAGTTGAATAGGGGAGCAATTCAAGCTCCCTGGATCCTCTAATTATGTTTGGCATTGCAGGTTCTGAATAAGATGAATTTTAAGCTTTTCCCAATAAAGACTATGTTAAACTTTGGACTCATAGTGCTCAGACCCACGGATCTCTGTACCTTCATTTGTACACACTTGAATCTTAATGAACTACTGAGGCTTGAAGCAAATTATAACTGTATTGCTATTGTTGGTTCTTAATGAGATTCTTCAAGCGTCCTCCCCATTGAAGCCCTATTAAAACTTTGTACCCCAAGTTCTTTTAACCACTGTTCCCCAGGACAACTATTCCTACAAACTTAGAGGGAGGTTTGGGATCCCGCTAACATGTTTAACCCCGCCACATTCTTAATGTATGTGTCTGTCCCAAGTCTTTAATTTACATATTTGTTTTTCGTTTATTTTTGTACATAGAATAGGCCGCTAGTTTTTCTCGTTTGAATTGTATTACATTTGTCATTTCGGGGCCTTTTATAGCTGACTGTGCGGTATGGGCTGTGATCATTGTTGAAGGCCGTACGGTGACCTATAATTGTTAATTTCTGTGTCATTTGGTTTCTTGTTGAGAGTTGCGTTTTTGAACAAACCAGCGTATCCCAAAGCCTTGATAACCTCTGTAGGCCCCAAATAAGACGAAAAAACATCAAAATTGGAGAGAAAACAGAAAATAAATAGTTTCTAACCTCAGGGATATTAACCCTTGGCATGCTGAATTGTTATCAGAAATTGTCTAAATTTCGAGTATTTGTAAAAATATGCAAATGATATGCAAATGAGCTGTACCCTGATGCTGATGCATACTGATTGCATTAAATCTAAGATAGCCAAGGGTTAATATCCCTGAGGTTAGAAACAATTTTTTTCAGTTTTCTCTCCAATTTTGATGTTTTTTTCGTCTTATTTGGGGCCTACAGAGGTTATCAAGGCCTTGGGATACGCTGGTTTGTTCAAAAACGCAACTCTCAACAAGAAACCAAATGACACAGAAATTTACAATTAAAGTCACCGTACGGCCTTCAACAATGATCACAGCCCATACCGCATAGTCAGCCATAAAAGGCCCCGAAATGACAAATGTAATACAATTCAAACGAGAAAAACTAGCGGCCTATTTTATGTACAAAAATAAACGAAAAACAAATATGTAAATTAAAAACTTGGGACATACACATACATAAAGAATGTGTCGGGGTTAAACATGTTAGCGGAATCCTAACCCTCCCCTTAAGTTTGTAGGAATAGTTGCCCTGGGGAACAGTGGTTAAAAGAACTTGGGGTACAAAGTTTTAATAGGGCTTCAATGGGGAGGACGCTTGAAGAATCTCATTAAGAACCAACAATAGCAATGCAGTAATAATTTGCATCAAGCCTCAGTAGTTACTGTACATTAAGATTCAAGTGTGTACAAATGAAGGTACAGAGATCCGTGGGTCTGAGCACTATGAGTCCAAAGTTTAACATAGTCTTTATTGGGAAAAGCTTAAAATTCATCTTATTCAGAACCTGCAATGCCAAACATAATTAGAGGATCCAGGGAGCTTGAATTGCTCCCCTATTCAACTGGGTCTCATTTGACTTGATTATAAATAAAGTTCTAGTATGTGCAAGTCTGAGGTGCTAGTGAATAACTTTAATTAAGCTTGATTGCATAAAGTGTTCAATATTCTAAAAAAAAAAAAGATGAATTTGTTTACGATACAAACTTTGCCTTTACTGGCGACCATTTTGAAATTCCTATCGCTTCAAAAAGTGAAAAGTTAAACTATAAGGTTGTCGTTATTATCAGATAGCGGTCAGGAGTCTGTAATTCAGTGGTTGTCATTTGTTGCTGTGTTACATATTCGTGTTTCGGTCTTTGTTTGTACATTATTAAAACCGTTATTTTCACTCGTTTGAATTAAATTGTTAAACAGCTGTCATTTCGGGGACTCTCCCTCTGGTATCTTTCGTCCCTCTTTCATAGCTGACTATGCGGGGGCTTTTCTCATTATTGAGGGCATTTTGATGACCTATAGTTGCTTATTTCTGTGTCATTTAGTCTCTTGGCAATCATAATACATATTCTTTTATATATATAGCGATGTCGTTTTTACGACATAGCTATGTCGTAATTACGACATAGCTATAGTGATGTCGTAATTACGACTTGTTATGTCGAAATAACGACATAGCGATCTCGTTATAACGACATGTTATGTCGAAATTACGACATAGCTATAGTGATGTCGTAATTACGACTTGTTATGTCGAAATAACGACATATCGATGTCGTTATAACGACATGTTATGTCGAAATTACGACATAGCGATGTCGTTATAACGACATGTTATGTCGAAATTACGACATAGCTATAGTGATGTCGTAATTACGACTTGTTATGTCGAAATTACGACATATCGATGTCGTTATAACGACATGTTATGTCGAAATTACGACATAGTGATGTCGTCATAACGACATGTTATGTCGAAATTACGACATAGCGATGTCGTTTAAACGACATGTTATGTCGTTTTAACGACATGTTATGTCGAAATTACGACATAGTGATGTCGTTATTACGACATGTTATGTCGTAATTACGACATGTTATGTCGTAATTACGACATAAAAATTTTTTTTTGAATGGCCCTTATCGGCTTCCGTACAAAATGTTATCACACACTATAGTTAAAAAAAGTCATTAAACAGGCAGCATTTAGAATAGGAATACTTGCCGATCTTGATCTTAGATTTTACAGTCGCAAAAAGTGTTTACTGGCTTGGCTAAAGCGTCGCCGGGAAATTCATTTTACGACAGTAAAATCAACGACACTTGTTAAAATACAATACATTGATAATTCCTTACATACTTTATGTATACGTTATTGTGCATGCGTTGTTACAGTCTTAATAAAGCCATTCTAAACGAAAGCAATCTTCTTTTTTTCAGTTGCATATTTTGTTGCTTCCTACCATTTTTGTGGAAAGGTGCCAAAGATGTTGTTCACACTTGTCCGAACTGTAAGAAAGAAGTCGGTAGATTTATTCGACAACAAAGAAGTAATGTCAGGATTCATGCTGGCGGAGGACATTATCGTCGCCGCCGACGTCGTAGACGACGATAATTGAGAAATTAGTCCTATCAAGCAAAATTATGACATTGCATGTATAGTATTCTCATAGTAATATATAATAAACCCATCATAGATACCAGGATTCAAATTTTGTACACCAGACGCGATTCGTCTACAAAAGAATCATTAGTGACTCTAAAATCAAAATAGTTAAAAAGGCCAAATAAAGAACGAAATTGAAGAGCAATGAGGACCCAACATTCCGCAAAGTTTTGCCAAATACCGCTAAGGTATTCTATTCCTGGGGTAGAAAGTCCCTAGTATTTCAAAAAAAATCAAAGTTTTGTAAACAGTTTATTAATAATTGTGATTATATCAAATATCACTCATGTCATCTACTGGGCTGGTGATACCCTCGGGGAGGAAACCTCCATCAGCAGTGGCATCGACCCGGTGGATATAAATAAACTCATCTGATACCAGGATTTAAATTTTATACGCCAGATGTCTACAAAAGACTCAACGGTGACGCTCGAATAAAAAAAAAGTTAAAACGGCTAAATAAAGTAAGAAGTTGAAGAGCATTATGTATATTTATTTTCAATGGAATATCAAGTGTGGCAGTGTTTTTAATATCTTACTTTTTCTACTTCCCATATAAAATTTTAAATCAATTCGCCTCTCTTTTGTTTTCCTATGCATTGCTGCAGCATAGAGACCACAAGAAGTCATACACGTTTCATTTCATTGGGAAATAAAACATAATTATTTTGGAATGCCTTGCGATTGTAGTCATCAAAATTCAGATGGAATATTAGGAAACACCTATGTAATGTTATAATACAATAGCAGTGTTTAAACAAAATAACATGTTGGATCGGATGCATTAATGGTCACAATTGCACATCGAAAACAAAATAAAAATGCAGAAAAATTAAATCATCTTTATCCCGAAATCGATGCTGGGTTTTAAGTTAATGTTCTAGAGTTAACTTTCTCACCTCAGTATCTTTGTCCCGTTGCCTGTTTGTCTTCAAGAAAAAGGAAAAAGTTACATTCAAACGTTTTCTTTTAAAACTTACTTGGCGTTATAGGATAGTCTTAGGATGAAAAAGACTAGATAACTTGTATTTCAATAAGTCTGTTGTATTTTCTAAGAGGAACCTAATACTTATATTCAACGTAAAATGTTGCTGATTCGATCATCTTCTTTTATTTTTTATGGTGGGGTAATATATGTTATTTTTAATAACACTTTACGGCTACTCCCTTCATGAGATTACAATGTTAGACACTTAAATTAAGACTCTGTAAAGGTCTGCGAAGATATCTGGAATGTTCAAGTCATTTTTTTTCCTTTTTTATAAAACACAAGTGTCAATAGCTGATAAGACAATTATACAAGGCGTGCCATAAAACCATAATATGGAAGGGAATATCCGCCATAATTATACATTTCTTAATTTGTAAAATGGAATTTCTTAATCTGTAACATGCAATTTTTTAATTTGTAAAATGTAATTTCTTAATTAGTAACACGTATTTTTTCTATCCGTTACATGAATTTCTACATTTTTTTCATTTGTGAAATGTAATTTCTTTGTTTGATTCACGTTTTGGGAGAATATGTCAGTGTAATTGTTACCGCTGACAGCCAATGAGAAGTTCCGTTTCTCAAGAAAAACTACAATTTACAAATCAACAAGTTACAAATCAAGAAGTTTTACAAATCAAGAATGAAATAGTTCCACAATATTCCGCACGAGGTCGCTGTGGATCAATATCAACTCGTACCTTTGCCAACTCGTACCCAATATTTACCAACTCTCACTGCTACCAACTCGTACTTTTACCAACTCGTATCCAACATTTTATTATTTATACGTTTTTATGTTCTTTTATATAATATAGAAACATACAAAATAAAATAAAGTACAACTTTATTGATTTGTAATCTGATGCAATTTGTTTTCAATTCAGAAATATCCAAAGTTAATCATTCGTCTTTAGAAGTAAGTGATTATATGAAATTGTTTGAACGATAATTTATTTCATATACATGTTGCATAATTATAATCATACAATATTCTAATCAGTGATCATTAGTCAGTGGCGGGGGAAGGGGTTCCGGGGGTTGAAACTAATGCTTTTGAATGGGGACATATGGTTGGAACCCCCTTTTTATATGACTTGCATGTGTTGGTACCCCCTTTTAAAAATTACTGGATCCGCGCCTGATTAGTGGTTAATAGGCTCGGACCTACAAAAATAGAATGGGGTAGTTTAAATGAAAAATAAACATAGAAGGGTTTATGAAAACCCATTTTTTTTTAATATATGCTGCATTTTGAACACCAAAGTTCGTTGTGTTTTGTTTATTTATATTGTAAAAGCCAAGCTTAGGGGAAAATAAGGGCGAAATGTATGATCTTACATTTGTAATCATAGTTCGTATCTGTTGAAGTATCTAAATATTTATATATGTTAAAACTTTTGGACTATGTTTAATTCCTGTGCTGGCTTTATCGCTTCAAAAAGATTCGAAAGGCCTTCATATATAAACTAACTAGAAAAATCTTCTTGAACACATGTTCAAAGCAAAAATCAGTAAAAAATATCCTTCTCCCATATTCTATGGAGCCTTTTTTTTACTGATTTTTGCGTCGAACATGTGATCAAGAAGATTTTTCTAGTTAGTTTATATATGAAGGCCGTTCAAATCTTTTTGAAGCGATAAAGCCTGCACAGGAATAAAACATAGTCCAAAAGTTTTTACGCATTTGCGTTCTGTGGACGAAGGGACGGCCCCTGTCGCTGTCTTTTGCTAGGTGGGTTATCACTAAAGTAAGACCCTTTTGGGGTCGTGTCATGATTTGTTGACGAAGAGCTGGTACGCTCTGTTCTAGATTCGTCTAATACAGTGTCAGAAAAATAGAGCTGATTGTCTAAGACGAATGATTAACCTTAGATTTGTCTGATTTGAAAACAATTTGAATCAGATTACCAATCAATAAAGTTGTACTTTATTGTATTTGTATGTTTCTATATTATATAAAAGAACATAATAACTTTAATGCGTATAAATTATAAAATATTGGGTACGAGTTGGTAAATATTGGATAAGAGTTGACAAAGGTACGAATTGATATGGATCCACAGCGACCTCGTGCGGAATATTGTAGAACTTTTTCATTCTTGATTTGTAAAACTTCTTGATTTGTAACTTGTAGTTTTTCTGAACTTCTCATTGGCTGTCAGCGGTAACAATTACACTGACGTATTCTCCCAAAACATGACTTAAATAAAACAAAACTACATTTCACAAATTAAGAAATGTAGAATTTCTTGTAATGAACGAAGAAAATACATTAACAAATTAAGAAATTGCATTTACTCATTAAGAAATTACATTTCACAAATCAAGAAACGTAGAAATTCATGTAACGGTTGGAAAAAAATACATGTTACAAATAAAGAAATTACGTTTTACAAATTAAGAAATTGCATGTCACAGATTAAGAAATACCATTTTACAAATTAAGAAATTGCATGTTACAGATTAAGAAATTACATTTTACAAATTAAGAAATTGCATGTTACAGATTAAGAAATTGCATTTTACAAATTAAGAAATGTACAATTATGGCGGATATTCCCTTCCATAGTATAAAACACGTTCTTAAATGATGTGTGCTGTAAGGTTATTAACGACAATAACAGAAATCTTAAAACCACTTGAATGCGGGCAGGTTATTTAATATACATCCCCCACAACACAATTTTACATATTTAACAAATATCGTTGACCAAAGCACATTTTGTACGAAGCGCTGCTAGCAATTCTTATAACTACATGTTTATGCTACAACCACGAAACTAAGGAGATCTATCAAGCTTTTCGTTTGTTTTTCATTGCATTATATTAACATTGTCAAGGATAGCGCGTGCAGTCATAGCTGTTGTATTTTATACGGAAATAAAATTGAATTATGATATCGAGGTGCATCGCGATTGTTGTCAACCAATCAAAATTGCAGATTCGAATGAAACATACATGTAATGTAATTATATATCCCGAAATAATACTTGGTTTTGATTTGTTGTGTTTAAACGTTAATGCCATGCACGCAAAGTCTAAACAACGGCGGTGGAAACAATGAATGATAGGAGTCCTGCTTAATTGTTTTAGATCCGCCGTTATCTGTTATTTCTAGTGCAGCGTACATGCTTAATTCTTCTACCAGATAATGGCCACAATCAACGAACTAATTATTCTGCCATGACTTTGGTGCGCATATGGACCCCTACCGCTCCCCCCATAATGTTTTGAATTTAGTTCAGCTTTGTTCCGCTGATACACCCCCGAAGGGAGAGCGAACCAAACTGTGATGATTAGTTGGGAAAAAAGAATATTTTCGGTAATCACTTGATGATGCTGGAATTTGGAAGCCTCTGTCATGCATGTTTTTTGATAGTCGTTTCGGTGGTATCAGACGACCTTCCTTTATTACTGCAACGTTATCGTTTATTATTTCAAAGAGCATGGTTAGTCTTGCATCTTTTCGTCTTTGTTCTAAAGATCTCCATTCTAAGTGATTGAGGATCTTGCTTAAACACTACAATGGTCATGGTGCTTATTCATAACATATCATGTTGCTCGTCTCTGAACCATCTCGAGTATGTCAATTTCTGTTAAAAAGTATGGATCTCATACTGGACTGGACTGGCGTAGCGTATTATGTTATAGGTCTTACGAGTGTTTTATACGCATAACCTTTACTGAAGTTGATTAACATGGTCATTCCATTTGAGATCGGATGCATCATCAGACTAGCGAATATATAGACGTGTTACGATCGAGAATAGAAAACAATAGGTAAATTTACAGACCAAATTAGGTACTCTATCACACCACACTCGAGGTACGTACGTTCGTATTTTCACCACAGTGACTATGACGGACATCAATGCGTAAACATTCAATGTTTTTTTTTCAGGGACCTCCAGACCACCTCTCGCTTCGCGTATTCGCAAATACATTTATCGTTTTTAAAATACAAAGATAAGTTATTTTTCGACAAGTTAGGTTCCTGGTGGCCTTTTATCTCGGATGACCAGTTATGATTGCCTATTCAGTGTAAACAGGATAATTATGTTTTTATATACTAGTATATCTATATAATTTAATTTTGGATGTAACACGTCTTCTGATTGGCTGAATGATTTTTGTCTATCAGCTCATAGACATAATTTTGTCATATGACCGTGACGTCATCAGCATTTTTTCATGATTTACTCCTTAAAAATTGAATCTAGAATTTAACTATAAGGAATGACTGTAATATTTTTCTGTCTATTCGAAATAACCTAAAAAATGTGGTGCACACTTTTAAATAGCCCGCTACGCGGGTTATGCAGTGTGCACCACATTTTTTATGTTATTTCTTCATCGACAGAAAAAATATTACAGTCATTCCTTAAATAAATACATGTATGGGCCCAGTTCCCATATTATTACAGGAGACCTTAACATCGTACAGGACCGAGAGTTGAAATCATTCCTTAAAAAAGACCTAAATATTGTCCCCCGTCAATTACCCCGTATAAAGTTGAATGAGTTTTGCAACCTCATCCACGACTCACCCCAAACTTACTGTATAAAATGGATAAAACG